CACCCGTGGCCGGGGCTACACCCCGTCCGTACAGGTATAACGATGTCGTACCGGGGATCCGACGGCTCGCACGAACACGACCGTGTTATACGCGATGGCCTCCATCGATAACGAGTCCCGGGAGATTCGCCGGCTGGCTGCCAGTAAACGCTGCCTCGCGACGTCACGTGGAAAATTCGAGGGAGGCCAGATACGGGGAAACCACCCGGCTTTATATACGTACAGATGTATCCGTCGATGTGTGCGCGAGATATATCCCCAGGTTACTGTACTCAGCTCGAGCGAGTAGATGGAACGCGGCAGTATCCGGCCTGCAGTGCCATCGTAATTCAACCGGGACAGAACGACGGCGTTTGTCCGGCTCGCAGGAAAGCAAACTATACGGCGATTACCGTGACGGCAAGACCGTGACGTGACAACGTGATACTTTATTCGTTTACGCTCGCGCGCAACTCGACTACTCGTCGACGATGAGGGCGACAAAGCATCCGCGCGACGTATACGCAGATGTCACCCTCGTGTGCGCGCGATTGTATACCCGCAGGAATCAATGACTCCGCTCGATGGACGAAACTCGGACGTGCTGCACAGTTTAGCCGAGAGACGTGAGAGAGTACCTGTTGCTAACGCCGATACCTAAACCCGATACTACGATAAATTCTTGTTACGTCGGTAATCAATCATCAATGATAAAACGGCGCGATAGGACGATAGCGCAATAAATATGCTTTCGTGCTCGCCGATCGAAATTTGATTAAGTGCATTCCGTGGTTTCGCTATGTTTCGCGCCCCCGACGTTCGTTACCGCGCAACTGGCAGAACAATAAGCGCGCACCCCGCGCGCCCCATATCGAAACGAAAGTGGAATAAAGTATGATATGTACATTTAAACCTGTCACGCGCGCGCGCGGGGGCGCGCGCGAGTCGCAGGTCGATCGATCGAATAGAACACGCAATGTACGTACACGGGCCGCGGAACAAAGGATCGTATAGCGGCACGGAGCGCGAAGATCGATCGATCGAGAGAACGAGAGAGAGAGAGAGAGAGAGAGAGAGTGTGCACGGCATACCTGGAGCGCGAGATAAGCGCGCTCTCGCGCACGACGTACACGCCACGTATATACGTGAGACGATCGCGCGCGATTAATCTTCGTGCCGGGCGTGAATCGGCGGAAGTGCCACGTCCACGCGAGAGCGAGCGCCGCGCATTTTATATGAAGTTATTTGCATCGACCGCGCGGCGCGCCGCGCCGCGGACTACGGCCTATAAAATGCACGCACGCTTCGCGAACTTTGGGCAACGAACTTGCGGTACAGCAAACTTACGGCATGCGAATCGTGCGCGCGCGCGGCTCTGTTCGCGCTATCAAGATTTCTCGAATAAACTTCCAGTCGGTTTAGCACAACGAATACCTTCGCGGTAAATTTACAAATCGAGGAAGTGTCTGTGCCGTTTAATCTAAAAAAAAGATTTAGATCTATGCCTTTCTCCATCTTTCTTTCTCTCTCTCTCTTTCTTTTTCTCGCCGGGGCATTCTAAGCGATTTAGAACCTGAAAATTATCGCGTTATGTGTGAAGACACCTCGGGAGAGATAAAGGGGAAAGAATGGAGATCCACCGGTACACAACTGGCGTAAAATTAAAACCGGTACTCACGGCGACCTTCGACCTCCCATGAAGAAAGCGGTGCGCACCTCTTTACGCTTCACGGGGCTTAATGAAGATGCATACACACGGTCGACGGCGTATCGCGATAACGAAGATCTACGGGCGAAAGTAAGCCGAGACTCTCGCGGCGTCTCTACACGCGGTACTCTCGCGGGACAAGGCCGAAAAACAAAACTGGAAGAGAAGCCGCTTCTTCGGTTGAAGAAGCAACGCGCGGCACGTGTACGACGTGACCCTAAATTATTCTCGCCATCCTCTCTTATGCCGCAAGACAAATATTTTTTTTTATCGCAAATCAGAAAACCTCCAGAGATATATGTACTTCAAATTTGTGGCGTGTAATGTAAACAAGACAAATACAAGCGATAAAATTTACGGTTCGATATATATATATATACTATATTGTGGCATTGCATCGTAGCGCAAATTTGACGAGCGAGCTGAAATGTGGAGTGTTCCCTGCGGAATGTCCGCGACGATTCAGTCGAGAGAGGAAACGCAAAAATAAACCTTGTGAGAGGACTCTCGAACGCGAAGTAAGAAAAGCGCGTCGTGTCGCGTATGACCCTTTAATACGATTTAATTACGTTTTAATACAATTATTTATCGAATTAGGTTCCGCGATAGGTTTTTTTTTGTAAGCTTGTGTGGACTCACCATGACGTAGTGGCGCTGCATCTCCGTCTTCTCCTGGGCGAGTTTCTCCAGCTCCAACTTAATACTGGACAGAACAAGCAGGAAATCGCACGTGTAAGCTAAACATTAGTAAGTGCAGGCGACATTCAAAAGCTGTGGGGGCAAAATAAAGAAGGGGCGAGGGGGAAAGCCTCCTTCTCTTCCTGATCGGGGAGGGGTCTCGTGGCACGTTTCGGCTGACAATAGAGAATGTAACGCCGCTAAACGAGATTATCGAGTCATCAACGAGTCGAGGGTCTTGTGACTTGGGCTCCGTGGCGAGCGAGGGATGCGGTATCATGTTCGGAATCCGAACATCGTTCGATCGTATATAATTTCGATTCGTTAATTTGTCCCGGATTTTTCCGCGCGTGTTTTTTTTTTAACCTTCCGAGCCGGTTCGTTCTTTCTATCACGCCCCCAAATTGAGGGATATTGCGAAGGGGTGGTGCACAGCCAAGCCATTAAAAACACACAATTAGTGCAGCCGCAACAAACATTGATAATAATTGTTATATACTGGCCGCCGCGTGTGTGTGTGTGTGTGTGTGTGTGTGTGTGTGTGTGTTTTACATTGTGTGTAAATTTCGTGTTTACCAAGTGGACCGTGGAGAATATTGGAAGCGTCGCGATTGCGAGCGAATAATTCATAAAAACGCATTCGTGGAATTTACATCGCGTTCAATTAACAAGGAAATCGTATGCAAATGCAAACAATCGCAAACGCGTTAGGTCGGTACTACTTGTCGTTAAATATTAAATAACAAAACTGTTCATCATCGGGAACGATAATTAATCATTTTGCGAGGGGAAAAAAAAACCCGTGTAATCGTCAGAGAAAATGTGTTTTCGAGCGCATTCGATCCCCGTTCAAAAAGAAAGTTAATACGAAATCAATACGAGAGAATCGACACGGCAGTGCGCAGGTTCATTAAGAGTTAATCCTCGTCGCGTCGCGCTTTTCCCCGACGCGTTAAAGCGCATATTAATATTCACTTGGTCGGCCACCATGTTACCCGACAGCGACATCAGAGCAGGACAAAGGCCCCCGTCCGCGGTGGTGGTTGGCGATAACTTTTTTAACGACGACAAGCCCGTACCGTATTTTTGTTTAGCGCGGCGCGGCGCGGCGCGGCGCGTCGGCGTCCCGGGGGCGCAGGAAAATAATCTTGCGGTTGGCGGCGGTCGACAAAACCGCTTGTACCGCGGCAAATGAATGCGTTCGTATGTGCCTGTAACGCTCGAGTGCATCGCGCCCACCCCGCCCGCCCCACCCGCCGTCTCGCTGCTGTTGCTGCTGCTGCTCTGCTGTTGTGCCGCTGCCGTTGGCTCCATGACTGTATACCTACGATAACGAGTATGGGGTGCGTCGTGTCTCTCTGTGATTCGTGTTTCTCCCCATGCTCCCAGTATTTTCGGTTCGCGACCACGAGCCAATGCTTCGGGTCGCGACGATAATTTCCCCTGAGTTTTTTTTTTGCTCTCTCTCTTTTTCTCTTTCTCTTTCCGTATCGTTCACCCAACCCCCTCCTCTGGAATTACATGTACATATCTCTGACATTACTTTGAAGATCCGTACCATTTTCCTTTTAATTGCACTCCCACGTATAATAAAAGCGTTACGGCCGTGCCGCCGCCGCCGTCGCCACCGCGCATATCGAAAATTCATTTCGACGAAATCAAATCGGTTTTTTAATAATTTCCCTCCCTTTTAGATTCTTCGCAATTTCGCGAGAATTGAAACAGCTCGACCGCGACCGAGCGATATCTCTCGAATTCAAGCGCGACAAAAACGAATGCATTTTAATCTGGGAACAACGGCAGGATGAATCGTATATGGCTTCGTGTGTGCACGTGCGTGTGTGTGTAAGTGTATATTCGTGTGTCTGCGTGTGTGTGAATGTGAGTAACGCGCTGCCCCTTTCTACGTTTTTATCCTTTTTCCGGCTTACCATCACGTAATGCCTCTGTATCTCTATTTTTTCACTGGCCAGTTTCTCGCACTCCAATTTAAGGCTGTGTAAGAAGAACAAGAACAGAGCATTAATATCCACCAGCCCTCGAAATCGTCGGTGCCATTGTCCCTCCGCTCGTCGTTCCTTCGTCCGCGACATTAAGTTAAAAACGCGCCGTATAACGCGCGCCATATATCGCGAAACGAGAGAAGATAAAGGTACAACCGTTGTAAAAGCTTCAACGAACGGAGTAAAAGACGGTTTATATATGCCGATTTCATAATCGAGAGAGTTCAGTGCGGAGACGCAATAATAAAGTTAAAGATTCACGAACAGCTAAATTTCTTTTCTTTTTTTTTTTCGTTTCGTTCTTCAAGAGGGAAATCCAGAAGTCTCCTCCGCAACGGGACGGCGAAGCGATTTAATTCGGTTCGAAGGAAATGATAGAATGCGCGCGATAATACCGGACGGCGCGGCGTTTAATATTCGTGAAAGGCGAATATACGTTGCGCGATGTAATCTCACCTATAAGGCGATAAATTAGCACGGTATTAACGATCACGCTCGCGCGAGCGGCAACTCTCGTTACGCAAACGGCAATACTCGTACGGTCAGAAAAGTCGATTAATTATTTCAGATTGACGCTGTGCCAACGATTTACGGGACGATTTATCGGGAATCACGTTGCGCGCTTGAATGCGCAGCGCCTACTAACAACGTGGCCGCCGCATATCTCTCTGTTTCACGCGGCCGGATGTATTTTTGCCCTTACCCCGCGTGATTAATATCTCAGTCCGCGAAATTTATGAATGTTGTACTCATCGCCGATATATTTCTAAACGCGAGATAGAGAATTCGCTCAAACGGTGCCCCCAGCGTCATCGCGTCGTTATTGTAATTACTTTTCCCTCTTTATATTTAATTCTCGTAAAAAAGGGAAGAAAGGGAATGATATCGCGATGCTTCCTCGCCGCAACCCCGGGAACGCGATGGAATTTTAACGTATCGACGTAATAATAGAGACGTAAATTCGACGATCGAAGAAATTGGTCACGCGCCAGCGAGCGAATTCCTTCCGAATCTGCCAAAGAGTCGTGATACGCGAACTCTGAGGAAACCCTCTCTCGCTGCGAGCTCGCAGACACGTGCATTGCACGCATGCACCACGCACACATAGGCGCGCTAGCCAAATGGGGTCTCCGCTCCTTGCCCAGAGCTTGTGCGCATACTTCGGTGTGCACAGCTTCCGGTCGGACAAACAATTATCTGCCTACGTCCGTACATCGGTTCGTGCGTTTCGCGTGCGCGCCCACGCGGTATTTGCACGAGCGTCTAATGGATACGGCCCTGCGGTGTCCACGGACGCGAACGTTTACTCCGTTCGACAAACTACTGACCGCTGAATGGAGTTTACATCACGCTTAACTATCCGCGGGAAAATATGTATTTTTGCCGAGGAAATGGGAATCCGGCAGTTTTGTTCTATAAAAAAAATAATAAAAGAACGCCTTTGATATACCGCGTAAAAGCTTTGGGACAAGTTGTATCAATATCAACTTTCACGAAGAGATACTTGTATTACTAATACTTTAGTAATCAGAATAAAAAAAAAAATACGTATCGTCAACTCAGAAAAAAATGTCTACATATTAATATCGCCGACGACGGACAAAATGAAGACGTACGGTTCGCGAGTTTAATACAAATTGAATAGCCGGAGACAAGACGTGACAAATTGGCCGTGTCTTTATTCATATTGAATAACAGTCCATACGTCTTCGATTGGCCGCAATCGGCGAGGACGAGTTTGCAAATACGAAAAGAAGAAAGGATACCTGTGGTATTGGGCCTGCAAAAAGTTGAACTCCTCCTTGATACGATCGCAGGACTCGCCGACCGAAAATTTGAACGGCTGCCCAGGCTGCGGCGGACCCTGCAACACAAAAATGCCATTAAATGTATCAATGCGCCGCAATCCCTTAACGCCATTAAAGCCCGTAAGACCCCGAGATTTATTCGAGAGACTCCGCTGTCCCGCAGGTAACTCGAAATCGATACACCGAGTCGGACAAAAAAATGTTGCCACTTATAGATGTACATACACTTCGCGACAGAAAAAACCGCGCCGCGTTATCCAGTTAATTAATGCTTTACTCGAGGCTTTACTTAAATTTTAATATACGTTTTTCTGTTCTTTTTCATGTCTGTAGATATATATATATATATATATCTACTCTTTACTTCTTTTATTGTGGACTCTGAATCGTTGAATTTTAATGACTCTTCTAAACTCGCGAGTGTTCCACAAATCAACGATTGGCGGTGCAATTATCTTCGAGTACCTACATATTTCGAAATGTTCCGTAACTTCGGTGCATAATCATAGTAATATAAACCGGCTTAAAGTTTAACTGGTTTAGTAATTCTATCATATGTATCTCATCTTGATTCAGCTTCAATTGCGTTACACGTATGTATAATGTAACGCAATGCGCTAAACTCATTTTAGATATAATTATTTAGTTTTTAATATGAAAAAGGAAATTTTCGCTATTGTTTTATTCGGTCGAGTTAGTAATTATTGTTACACTCTTAAGGACCTCATGTCACCTTTGAGGTTTTAAAACAATACCTAAAGTTTGGAATTTTTTATGAGTAAATGGATATAATGGATATAATGTAATTGTCAGATGCTGTGTCTAATTATTTGCTGTGATAATTAGACACAGCATCTGACAATTATGTATGTAAGGATCTGACAATTATGTATGTACTCGAAGGTGAAGCGACACGTATGTAATATTTTACAAAAGACTGAAGAGGGCTTGATGTAAAGCCGAAACGATGATCTGATAGCATTAATGTAATTTGCAAGTATTAAGTATTAGAGTGTCAAAGGTATCAAACTTTTGATACAGTGTATTAAATATTACAAAAATCATTTTAAATTGAACAATAATATATTCAGGCTCCGAGAAAAATAAAATAAATAAAATTTAAAATAAATAATTGTAATGGGCCAGAAGCCAAGATCTTCATGCTAATCCGCGCGCGCGTTATATTCATATAAAAAATTACATGAATGCTACCAGACGATCGTTTCGGCTTTACAAGCTCTCTTTAGTGATCTTTTATAAAATATTACTTACGTGTCGCTTCATCTTCGTATGTTACATACATAATTGTTAGATGCTGTGTCTAATTATCACAGCGAATAATTAGACACAGCATCTGACAATTATTTATGTAACATACGAAGGTGAAGGGACATGTACTTATGTAATATTTTATAAAAGACCAACGAATTTAATTAAACACAGCATCTGACAATTATGTATGTAACAAAAACTGATACCTGAAAGAAGAAAGTAAGACAAGAAACGGAAGTTATCGACTTAACATGTCTTTTTTAAAAATTAATTTAAGATTTCGTGTACCTCCTATTTTTGGCGGTACATATTTAAGGGATATACTTGTGTCCCTCGTAATTACGTAGCGTTTATATTTCAACGTGTATACCTCCAATTTTTGGCGATACATGATTAGGAGTGTAGGCGTGACTCAAGCAGCTTAGGACTCAAACTTACAATCGACCAGAATAGAAACAATCTTAATAATTTAAACCATTATATCACGTTACAAATGACTTCTAATTAAATTTATATTCCTCGAGTATATTTACATTTGTGTCAACCAATTAGACACTTCGTCAGAATACGCAATTTTTTTTCGTCGCGGGAGCGTGCTGTAGAAAACGCCGGGTGACTTTGGCGGTTGCTGTATCAGCATCCACGAGCGTAAAAGCCACATTATTGCCGGTAGTACCGGTGCTACCCGCCTCCGTATACCTGTTGGTAATAACGTTACGAGCGTGTTATCGATCGTTTTGCACGTCGTGCCCCGCAAAACGGATACGCCACTATGGCCTCGTAAAAGCCGGAATATAGTTCCCTCTCTCCCTTTCTCTCTTTTCCCTCCGTCCGATCGTTCTCCTGTGTCGTGTACGATCTAGATTCCGGCAGCGGGCGACCGAGGTAGGTATATATATATATGCCGGAATCGTGAATGTTTCATGTGCTAACGATTCGCCGACGATCGCGATCGCCGTAATGAAAATCGTGCCAAAACTCGTAAAATAAAGATCAACTTTCGGACGCGCGTTACTGCACTAATGAGTCACACGTGTGTGCGATGCCGACCTCGGTCCACTGCAGTGTATATGATGTCAGAAACACATATATGAACGTTTAACAAACGCTATATAGATACTGCCGTCTTTGTGATTTATTAATCTTTAATCTCTTTCTTTTTTTAAAGTCGTCTGTTATTGTCTTGTTATAACTCTTGTGCTTTTTTTTTAACACGTACGCGTCCCTGTATTTTATTGAAAAGCGAATAATATTCCAAGAGGAAAACGATACGAGGTAGATCAACGTGTATCTTAACATGCGGTAGCGCTTAGAGAGCCTCGTAGCTGCTCGTAGTCACTGCAGCGTGTTTTATTAATCTTCACGGCTTCGCAAAGGGCTTCCTCCCCGACGCATTATCGCACGTGTACGTTCGAATTACGCCGAGGATTTGCGCGCCAGGCGTATCTTTAAACAGGCTCAAGCCAGAGAGATCGGCAGAGTCGTACCACAGACAACCGCGCCGGTGTATCTGTGCTCGCTGCGTGGCTCGTTATTTGCGGACGGATATATACGTACACACGCGGCACACACACGTACGCGTATACGCTCATCTCTTTCGCAAGTGACTTTTAAATGCGACGTAATGCCGAGTGGATTCCGCGCGCATACCGTATTAAGGGACGGGAAGAGCGGAGTTAATGCAAATTGGCGAACAGCTGATCGTAACGGAATCGCTGATCCGATTTGTATGCGACAAGTCACGACGGTCAATCCAATTAATTTATCAGCTTTCGCCCGCGGAACGGAATAGCAGGCGTCAGACGTGCTGCTTGGCATTTTGCAGTAGAGTAGAGCTCCGTTTATCGGCTCCGTTAATAGATCGACGGGGCGAGAATGTCGGTCTGTGGAAACATCAACGACACTCGGTAAAAGAAATTTATATTTGTAGAATCGTCATACGCGTAATTATTGTAAATTATATGCTCACAGTTGTTATCTAACCGAGATCGTAACTACCTAATAAATATGAAAATATCGAAAGTAATGTATCGGATATTACAAATGTCGAGAGCACAATAACATCTTGCCGATATTTTTTTGAAATATTCATCGTTTTAACGTTCAACGAATATGCGGAATGACGATAGTGATGGCCTTTCGCATCGATGATGGGGCGCAGGGGGTGACGCGAGAGGGGGAAGCAACACACCGCGGAGCGACACGGTTAGCCGTCCGTCGAAAAGCGAAGCGCGCGAATTATGTCGTTTCGACGAATAATAATGAGAGAACGTAGCCGTCGCGCACGTCAATCAGTGTCCTTTACGTGCCGCGGCCGATTTAATTATCCGATAGCCTCCTCTCTCCCGGGCATCATCATCCCCGGCCCCCCTCTTTCCACGCCGCGCTTTTTATTCCACGCGATCGAGAGCCCCATCGCAATAGCGTGCGCGCGCGCACTCGTTCGCGCCGGCGGTATTCAAATAGCGCGTTATCGGCTCGACAACCCCGTGAAAACGATAGCCGGGGCCGGATAACGACGAACAAGAATTGGCATTAAAGCGCAACGATCGGTACGATCGCGCTTTTATTGGTTTTCGAGTCTCGCGCGACATTTAATACATCCCGGCAGATACCGGATTACCGTTTCGCAGTATATTATCGCGGACAACTCAATGGAGCGAGGAGGCCGCTCAATGGACGTTCGTTAAAGCCGACGACGGGGCGACGTCGTCGTTTACGGTCACTCCTGTCTCTTTGGCCGTCAAAGAGGGAAGAGAGAGATAGAGAGAGACAGAGGACAGAGGAGAGGAGACGACACAAGTCGGCCACGTCGTATTACGTCCTAACGCTAACAGCAACTGGACCAATCAGTTGCGTTTGCAGCCACTCAAGTACGCTTAAGTGGCGCGTATCGCTGCGTCTAATTACGTTAGCTCCATCGATCCCGCCGTCCGTCATCCACTAGATGCCTGATTATCGGCACGTATTATCGGACAGGTTAACTGCTCTCTACGATGTCCCCGCCTGTGATCAAGTCCGTAACCAAACACGAGGCACGCGCGCGCTCAAGTGCCAAGAACATTTGCTCATCTCGAGCTACAGTAAACGGGCATTGTGCCCACATTAGGGTCGCGTCTAAAATGGAAATTGCCGCCGGAGCGATCAGGTCATACATATTGCGCTCTCTATACATTATGCTCTCGAACACCCGAACGTTACAGCTAGGTTCACTTTCGTTCTCTTATTACAAAATTAGTTAATAATTAAAGATTATTATTTCGGCTTACTTCAACACGGAGAGAATTTTATTTAATAATTTACCCTGAAAATCACGTTAATCGTGGAACAACATAGTATTTCGACGAATTTTATGTGAATTTCACTTTTTTTTTAATACATACTACAACAAATTTATTGTAGTGCACAGTAAAAAAACAGAGAAAATCACACGAAATTTGTCGAAATACTACGTTGTTCCGATTAACATGACTTTCAGGGTAAAATTTTAAAAGGAAATTCTCTCCGTGAACTTGTTAAAAATGAAAACTTGAAAACTATCAGTAATTAAAGATTTCACTGTAACTGGTTTTATTTGTATCAAGTAACGAAATTCCTTTTGCTTAGTGTCAGTTTTTTTATCGATTTAAGAGATAAAAGAAATAGCTATCTCTAGCTATCTCAATCGGAGCACACGATATACCGCGCTAATCAAAGAGGGCATAGTTTCGAGAGTTGGTGGCCGTGCGCACTCGTCCGCTTTACTTAGAAGCTCTTCGTGAGAAACTCGCTAAACCATGGTGGG